TGTATACTACTTAGTATCTGGAGGGTCGGAATAGCCCTGGTAGGGTCGGAATAGCCCCAACAACTATGTCAGTGAAAGTACTGTTTTCATGAAACGTTGAAGCTAAATTTTGCTGATTTCAAGAAATTACAAATAGAATAGACAGAATAGAACTCATTGATGAATAAAATGAATGTAATAAAGCAAAAAGGAGTGAGTTATGACTTCGTAAATATTTAATTAGATCATAGTGCAGAAACAGGTCAGAATAGCCCTGAGTTACTCTACCTTTAATTTTATTAGTCAAAATTGTATTTATTTTTCATTGATTTTTGTTTAGATGGTCGACTTCCTTATCCATATGCATAATACCAGTCCAGTTGTAATGGTCTTGGCTGGACCAATCCATGATCTGGTGTCAAGGGAGCATTCTTAAAATTTAACGGAGGGCTAAAATGGGAATTAAAACATCGCAGCAACACCTCATTCATTTAGCTATACATACCAGTCTCATATCATCCAGCTTATCTCCAAAGTTATATAAGGCTGCTATGGCCCTGAGCTCTTACAAGTACTGTGCCCTCTTTCTCTTGAGCAACTGTAGAACTTCGCTCTCAGTACAATAGCTGACAGCTGTGGCTCAAAGTAATTCCTCAGAGAAGTCACCAGTTCAGTTAGGTCTGCATCTGTCACTATAGTTGAAGCAATTAGAGATCAGAGGAGTGTATAGGTGGAAGGACCTATGGCAAACAGAAAAGCTGCCTTCTTGGCATTTCCTGCGACACCATTTGCAATCAAGTAAAAGTCCATTCTTTGAATGTATTGTGACCCATCCTCCACATCACTACGAAATTCACCCAGCTTTCCTATAGTAGCCATCCTCATCGCCAAAATGTCACGTCTTTGGGTTCCTACTATAAGCTATTTCTATAGCTAAGTTACTAACTTTACTACTACCGAAAAGGATGAAAATATTGATCACTTATATACACAAAGAAACCACACAGAAAGTTACATAACATAAAATTATAATAACAATACATCACAGTTTAAAACATCTTTTTACAACAGTATTTAACCGACCAAAATTTTTAAACCCTTTCTTAACAACCAGCTGGATAACATGGGCGAAACAAACATGGTATGTAAACGACATATCAAAAGCATCAAGTGCATCTCTTTGATAGTCATGATTCGAAATTCATCACTTGACTCACTCACTTCATCGTCAGTCTCGATTTCATATCCTGGTATGGTTATAAAAGCTTTCTTTACATTAGATGCACTATCAGTGACAATATGCTTTACTTTTGATGCATCGAAGTCTGCAATAACTTCATACCAAGTTGCAATATTCTGTCCCGTGTGCCTCCCAATCACATGTTAACATGACAGATTCAAGTTTCCAGCTATTAGAGAAGTTATCCCAATCACGGAACACATCAGTCGGTTTGACCACAAGTCAATTATAAGATTTAGTGTTTGTGCTCCTTCCAACTTTCTAGTGACCATTAATCTCACTTCATCATACTTATTCTTGTGGAAAAGTGCTTTCTACTTGGCAGTTGATAGGGAGGATCCAATCTATTAATAAATTTTTTGAAGTGTTTACTTTCCACTAATGTCAAAGGCATAAGATCAGCTGCTATGAAGCTTACTAACTCCTCGGTAAAAGTACCTGCTTTGTGTGCTTTGAATCATCCTTTTTGTCAGTATATATCAAATGACTTAAAGTCTCCTGTTTA